GACTTTTCACTGTTTTTGCCAAAAAACATCAGCGTCCCGTCGCATTGCAGCTGTTCAAAAGAAAATGGCCGGAGCAGTTTTTCTTTCATCTTGCAAGGTCTGGACACAAAGTTTAATTCATATCCTTTTAGGTTTATGGATTGTGGCAAATTTGAATGTTGAAACCTTTGGAGAAGAGATTAGCATTTGTTTTGATCGTTCCAAAATAGGTGCGTTTTACATAGCCGCTAAATTATATTGAAAGCTATGAATGAAAAACTGTATGTTGATCAAAATAATTGCAAGTTTATTATGCTTGCATGTGTTAGGCCCCGGTACGCATTGAAAAACTTAATCCTTAAAAATTAGGGCTGTTGGACCTAAGCCCCGCGGGTTTCTCAAAAAAGTATTCTGGTTTGATTCATAATAACTTTTTAACCCGTGAAGTCATTACACTGAAATCAATTCATAACAGCAAATTTTAATGAAGCATTAGACTAACTTATGTTTCAATAAAATATAGTGACAATTTGCATGCAGTTTGTTAAGGCGGTGTTACATGTTCACTATGCAATGTTTCTTGCGATTACCTGCAGTGCATTTCTACTCCTGAGGCATCTAAAGTTGTCATTTCTTACGATATACTAACGCTTTCTTAGCATTTCGAACACTCTTTGCAAATTTACATCCCTCGAAATTATAATGCATTGCAATATTGCATAGTGTAACAGCGCCGTAATTGTGTTTACTGGTAATAGTGCGTGCTGCAGGGGCCGGATGTAACCAGCCCGTTTAGATAACAACGGTGGATAAGTTCAAAATAGAATGCAAGTCTATCGTTTTACTCAACAAGCGAACTAAATGCTTAATAAAAAGGTACTGTTTACAACTTGATATTCAGTGCATAATATTCAAGTTGACTCATTACGCGCAGATCGAGTATGTTCCAAAGCTTTATATTGAAGACTGGCACGTGCACGGCACGCCGGAGTTAACGCCAGAACAGGCGTCTTGTTTAAAAGATTTCTAAGAGTGTTATTTCATTTTGGCTTATCCACAGTTTTCGCTAAACGGGCTTGATGCAACCAGGCCCGGAAGAGCAATGCTTATAATTACTTAATGTTTTTAAATATAACGTCAAAACTGTTATTTTCACAACAAAAATTTTTAGGCTTTACAATCGGCGTCATCTCGTTATCTATTGTTTGAATTGCATTCGACGCGGCCAAAATGCGACGTGTGAACTAGGCCTTAAAGACTAGTGTGTTAGGTCAAGCTTACCTAATGAGTTTAGTTCGGTTTGTGCCTGGCTGTTTGCATTAATTTGAAAGCCCACCTTTAAAGGCTTGCGTCCACTCTATTTCAAGCTTTAGTTTCATATTTTTTATTCGGCGTGGCTTCCGCCCTTAATTTGTATTGATCACCAAAGCCCATGCAATTTTAGCCATGCCGTCTCAACAAATTGACTGTAGTGTAAATGAGGCCCTCTGCAGTGTAAACGGTCGAACTGTTTATGAGATATCGAACCTTTCATGTGCCGAATCGAATGCATATAAATTTAAACAGATTAGAACTCATTAACATTCGGTTCGGCACTTGAAAAGTTTGAAGTCTGAAACATGCCTTATAAAGCCGGTTTTTTACAAGGCGCAATTTTTCAATCGAAAGACATTTTTCATTCGATATTCTTTTCAATTAAAAACTAGTAGAAAACCGCCCTTAGTTATAGTTACAAACTTTTTCTACGTATTTTTTTACTTTTAAAGATCACCGCCTGGAAAATAATGCATCGAGAATCAAGTATACCCACCAAGATTCAGAAAATGATTGCATCGTTAAATGTTACGAATATAGAAATTCCTGCAGATCTGTAAACTACAAGAAAAACACAAAGTCTACAGCAGAACAAAATTGTGAATTACTCAATACTTCCTATTCAGAAGAACCTGGAAACTTGATGAAGAATTCAAACTTTGACCATTACAAACTTGTAATATCGGATGAAGTGAGTATATATTTATGTTTCTAAATGGATATGCATGCACATTTAAAAAAAAATCCTAATTTCAGTAAATCCCCATTGCTCAGAGAAGGGAGGGTGAAATTTTGTAAAAATCATAGTATGCACACACGTGTGATAACTGCATGTCTATATTGCGTATTGAATTACATCAATATCCGCGTTTGTAGCATTCCGAAATATTATACATATATAAAACGACTCTAACCTATGAAGATGGCCACCACAGAGGATTTTATGATTTTGGACCACCCTTAGTTATATATACGTTCAAATATTTCCAATTTTTTAGAACCCAAAAGATCGTTCTCAAACCAGCCCAAATCCCCAGGCGACACAGCGCCCAGAAACAGGTACGACATTGGGGACTGTAACTATGGACCGTTGACACGGCTTCAAAATATATAGAACGATATATCGTCATGTCATGATGGTGAACATTATAAAACGTTTATAGCAATTATTTGCCTCCGGCTCAGTGAATATCACAGAAGAAAAATCGTGGCAAAATATTCTCTATAATACCGGAACATGAATTTATATAACCATGCACTGATAAAAAGTGTGTATATATATACAGGGTGTATCAAAAATTTCGTTTTTCAGGATATTTTGCAGAATTTGGCAAATTTTTGTGTTCCTAGAGATAGTTAAGACTTATCTGGTATACCTAGGCCAAGTTTCGTTTTTCATTAACAAAATTACGTTACCGGGGGGGTGGTTCCTTTCCACTGATATTGAGAAGGCTCGCGCGCGAAAGTGTGAAGCTGGAATTGAGATATTATTTAGCTGTCTAAAAGTAGGAAAGCTTTTTAATAAACTGTGAAAGTTTCAGGAAAAATAATGCATACTGGGAGCAACGCGCGACCCCTAAAGGTGACAAATATTTCATTGCGCGCAATGGATTAAATGCACCGTTGATTTTAGCGTGACCGATCTCATACAAGGTGGGCAAATGAATAAATTAAAGCGAGAAACTGAACACAAAAACAAAGCGATTTTTTCGTGATGTTAATCTTCAGCATATCCATCATTTCATTATAAGCAAACTGCGGCTTGTCTGATCATACTAAACACTGAACAGCGAACCATTTGTCTGTCCATTCGCCTAGATTTGCCGGTGGTAGCGTAGGCGATTTGCAAGAAAGAATTTCGAACGAAATGGATAATTTGAGGTCGGCAAGACAAATGTGGTTCGCTGTTCAGTGTTTACTATGCTCAGACGAGCCGCTGTTTGCTTAGAAAGAAATGGTAGAAATGTTCAGGATTGACATCAAGAATAAAAATCTTGTTATTAAATCACTTCGTCTTCTTGTTCAGTTTCTCGCTTTAATTTATTCATTTGCCCAGCCTTGCATGAGATCGGTCACGCTAAAATCAACGATGCATTTCATCCATTGCGCGCAATGAAATATTTGTCACTTTTAGGGGTCGCGCGTTGCTTCCAGTTTGCATTATTTTTCCTGAAACTTTGACAGTTTATTAAAAAGCTTTCCTACTTTTAGACAGCTAAAATTATTAATATCTCAATTTTAGCTTCACATTTTCGCGCGCAAGTCCTCTCAATATCAGTTGTAAGGACCCCCCCCCCCCCAGTAACATAATTTTGGTAATGAAAAACCAAACTTGGCCTAGGTATACCACATAAGTCTTAACTATCTCTAGGAACACAAAAAATTGCCAAATTCTGCCAAATATCCTGAAAAACGGAAATTTTACATTTGGGAAATTTTTTTTTATACACTCTCTGTATATATATATATATATATATTATATATATATATATATATATATATATATATATTATTTATATATATTATATATATATATATATACACCCATTTGCAAAAACGTTGGCCGCAGATAGATAGATAGATAGATACTCGAAGTCTAATTAGAATTGCATATGATTACATTTGTATGGGATTTCAATCATATTACACAACATATGCGCTCTAATTAGATTTCGAGTATCTATCTATATATCTATCTGCGGCCAACGTTTTTGCAAATGGGTGTATATATATATATATATATATATATATATATATATTATATATATATATAATATGATATATTATATATATATATATATATATATATATATATATATATATATATATATATATATACATATATACGTATATATATTCCCAACCATTTGGTGAAAGTAATATTCCTATATATCCGCATAAGCGAACGAAATATAATTTTCTTTAAAGCACCATCCACATCAAGAGTGACAACAGACAAAGATTCTGCGACATCAAGTAAGATAAAAATGAATAAAATAAGCATTGGTCTTGTGTCGAGAAAAGTGCAGATTTCAGATTAAACCGGAGTCAGGCCAAAAGCCATGCAAGGGTACTAACTCAGCCCGGAGATTTTGAATTAGAACCGGGTATTGTAATTGCAAAATTTCAAGCCAAAATGTGCAAATTTTACTTAACATATATTTTATTAAAAACCAATCGATAAGCACAATTATACCGTAATTACAAATGATATATTATAATCTATTTAAATAAATTCAATTTTACGGTATCTTTCAAAATATATATAAAAGTTTGGCATTAATTTTTTAACAAATATTTAACCATTATATCCTTGACCATGCAGTGATGATAGAAGTGTATCTTTCTGACCACTATTTACATTAAAAATTACCTAAAAAAAGGATTTGACAACAGTGATATTTTCGGAGTCGGAAAATATTTTCGATATTTTCGGAGAGGATCGTTTCGTGTAAGATCAGCTTAAATCTTTCTTTTTTGGTTTTTCCCTTTTATATATGCATGGCTAGATATTTTCAACACAGACGTCGACCACTTTATTTGTGGTTCTCACAGCAAAAGTGCTCCATATTTTATATTCCATTTTTCTTATAGTTAGAGTTATAGTGCAATTTACAATAACCGTAACCAATGTATGCAATTATTCAAGAAGTGATTCTGTTCGATTTTATGTTGTACGTACCTTGTTTTTTTGCATTTCCCACGAGAAGGTTCCTGCAACACCAGTGAAGTTCCATTTGGAGTGGAAGATGGAAAATTAAATGATTCTCAGATGTCATCATCAATTGAAAAAAATGGATTTTCCGCATCAAAAGGAAGATTAAACGGTGCAGCTTCTTGGCGTCCGGGCGATGACAATCAGAACGAATGGCTCCAAGTCGATCTTGGCAAAAAGGAATTTGTTACAGCGATTGCCACTCAAGGTTCTGGTGATAATTATTGGGTGAAAACTTACTCGATCTCTTACGGCGTGGATAAAGAAAACCTCACTTCCTACAAAATTATAATGCAGCTCAGAAGGTAAGCAGCCAAAGAGATAATAATCCGATTATTATTACATTATTAAAACTTTAAACACTCTCCAGAGGTTGTTACCATTTTCGCCCCGAATGTCTCTTAATCACTGGTCTTAATCAAAAGTATCCTATAAATATAATGTAAAAAGTTAATTTTATCAATCATATATAATTGGGTATTAATAAAATTAATTAATTAATAATTAATTATAAAGGTATTCGCTGGAAATTATGACTGGGATTCTGTCGTGACAAATCGCTTATATCCAGCAATAAATGCGCGTTATATTCGCATACACCCATTGTCTTGGTTTAAACACATATCCTTGAGAATCGAAGTTATTGGCTGCTACACAGGTAATCAACGCTCAACATTGAGCATGTCTGACTTGTTTCCAGTCCCTCGTTTACCTTCAACATGCACGTCCTAAATTAATTCCAACAAAGCGTTGGATTGTGGAAGAATCGGGTTACGTGAATTATTATCTTTCATGATAATATCCAGCTGATCTGAGCATAAAAATCAACCAATCAAAAGCCTGATCCTCAACAAAACTCATTTCCTTCATTTCATATGACGCGTGAGCACTTTAAAATTTCAAGCAATTCTATTATTTCTGTTAAGAATCGAGTTTGTTTTTCCCTTTACTGTGAATTAGAATTGAAATTTTTTTCCCTTCATGCTATTAGTTGGAAGAACGGAGGGAAATTACAGCTTATTCTTTTAGATTTTATTTACGTATGTTAATTAATTTTCTGCATTTCCAAAGACAAAGGTTTTTGCAACACCAGCAAAGTTCCATTTAGTGTATAGGATTTGAAGGATAAAGAATTCTCAGATATCATTATTTACTAAGCAAAATGTCTTACATACGTATCCTTCTTTTCTTGCATTTCTTACAACAAGGTTTTTGCAACGCCAGTGAGGTTCAACTTGGAGTAGAGAATGGAAGAATAAAGAATTCTCAGATGTCTTCATCAACTGCAGAACACGAATTTTCTACATCAAAAGGAAGATTAAACGGCGAACACTTTTGGCGTCCCACAAGTAATGATCAGAACCAATGGCTCCAAGTCGATTTTGGCAACCAGGAACTTGTTACAGCAATTGCCACTCAAAGTTCGGGTAATAAATGGGTGAAGACCTTTTCGATCTCTTACGGTGTGGATAAAAAAACCCTTACTTCATACAAAATTAATGCTATTCAGAAGGTGAGCATCTAAAGAGATAATAATCCGATCATTAGATTATAACAAAGAGTACAAAGAGTTAGGATTTTTTTTCAGTGCGCTTTTCTTCACTCTTGCAACATTTCCGCGTGTTTGGATCAAGCCATCCAAACACGTATAAAACCATCAAGTAATTGCATAATCCAGCACAGCTGTTATTTAATCAGATTGCTTATCCACTTTTGACTATTGAAATATTTCAACTGTCAATTTCTTGCTTGTGGACATGCAGCTATTAAACCAAATGCTTTGGAGTTTAAAAGGAAGCTTTTGTTTGAACATAACTAACAAAACATATTTTTTAAAAAACAAAACTTTTAACACAAGTGCATTTCAACTGAACAAAAATCTTTTTAAATATTGTTCAGATGCATAGATGAGTCCTTTAAAATTGTTATGCTGAAATGTTTGAAACAATTTTGGACTCTAAGTTAATGTTTTACAGGCTACCCACATCTACGCATTGTGTTCCTATTTTTATAAAATATACTGAAAAGACAAATAACAAGGTTTTCTGGACTAGCAATAGACGTTCTTGAAGAGCGCATGCTAATCTGTTATTGTGGGACATCTGCTGATGTACCTTGTTGATCTGATAATGCACCATTTGAATCTTTATCATGACCTGGACACGGTCAGCATCTCGCGAGAATTAGCAGTCAACACCGTTACTTACGTATAAGATCGCAAGCGAACAGCAAGTTCATGACTTCCCAGGGTGGGGGTCGTTATCGTTGCAAGACTATTGGGCACTTCTTTTGACGTCATTCAAATCTACAAACTGCTGCTCGCTGTAATCATAAGAAACTTATTAATTTAGCCGTATGCGCACATCAGTAGGAACAACGTTTCCTTTTAAATGATTATAGTTGCGCTTTGCAAAAAAAATGGTTACAACTTTGAACGGTACGGAAGGTAAACAAAAGTCTATATGTCAGGACCCCATGATGTTTCTGCTTATGTGCATCTCGCTTTACGTAATACAAAGAAATTTAACTCAACAAAATTCTTATTTCTACGAAAATATATCATATCAAATTCTATAAAGTTAGGACAATGGATTGCACTTGTTTGGCTCGTACTGGAAGGTATATAGGCCGGACTATAATTATTTCCACAGGTCGCAGGAAATAGATTTTTGTTGTAAATGTTTAGCACTAAACTAAGCAGTTGTACAAAGCTCATTTGGCCCAAACAGTGATTATATTAGCTATTAATTTCTTTGAAAGTTGAAACTTGTCATGTTACTCATGTATATCTAGCGCTTGTGCAATTATGACTTTTATATTTAGGAGGTGAATCTTGTATATTTAGGAGGTGAATAAGCATGTTTTTAAATTTAGATTTATCTTGTTTCGTCCAATAGGCACAGGTTTAAATTTTTAAAATACTCTCTAGTGAATGCAATTCTTTGCAAAGCTGGTGAAAAGACACTTGGCGTAGAAGATAAGAATAAAGTTGAAGATTCTCAATTGAATTCTTCGAGTTTTTGGAAAAGTCACTTATCAGCGCGTGGACGATTGTACAACAAAGGGGGATGGAGAGCAGATGTAGACGACAAAAACCAGTGGATACAGGTTGATCTTGCCAAGAAGGAAGTTGTCTCAGGGATTGCCACTCAGGGAGGAGATTTTATTGCTTGTTGGGTGAAGACTTACTCTGTGAAGCATAGTTTGAATGGAACAACATTCGAATCATACAAAAATGAGGGTGATGATAAGGTGAGAATTATTGCACTATACGTGTTTATAAATTATCACAAACGAGTTCGGTGACCCCCAATTTTTTTTATGAAAAGGTGGGAATTATTGCACGACAGGCTGTATAAAAAATATTGTTAATAAAGTCTGGGGCCTGTTAATCTAAGGGTACCGGTGGCTCGATAGAGTTTCTCGAAATTTTTTAATCCACTGACATTTAAACAGGAATCAAGCGTCTAAATATTTCGCTAGAAGATTAAAAGTTAATGCACTTTGCAGGAAACATATCGAAACCGGAAATCTATTCAAAACTTGTGCCTGGCGTTCTCGTTTTCTTTTCTTCCTTGGTGAAACACGGTTACTATCGTCAGTTTCCGATCGACTAAGCCTGTTTTCGATGCTATCGTACGTTAATTTCCTCTTAATTTTCATTGCTTCTACCGCCCTTACGTTTTTTTAAAATTTATTTTCACTGATGAATTTTCCTGTCCTATTTTTAAATATACTTTTCTCGCAGAGCGGCGTTGTAATGCTTTCGGGGGTTTCCGGGCTTTTTAAATCTGCCATGTTTGTTTTGCTTGGCATTTAAATTTCCCGCGAGCGGGTTACAGACGCGCGTCCAATTTCTCGCGAGGCTATTAATGTTTCCACGCGCAAGAGCGCAGCTAAATATACTGTATCGAGCCACCTTAACATTTTACAAAAAACAAAAAATGGCGAAATTTTTCTGTCGAAAGAAATTTTTCGCTCAATTTTCTTTTCAATTGTGAGAAATCGACCGTGACGGATTCTCTTGACCGGTCACAATTGAAAAGAAAATCGAGCGAAAAATTTGTTCATTCAAAAAGTATCGCCTAGTGAAAGACCGGCTTTAGGTTCAAAACAAAATTCCTCGTTGTTTTCGTATACTGCACAGCTTTATGTAAAAGTATGTCTGTTGTTTGTTTGTCACAGAATGTACAGTACTATCATAGGAAGCCTGCATGATCAAGCGCTTTTATTATTTTCTAAACGGATTTGGGTAGGGTTTTATGATTTTCAACTTTGTCTAGATATTTGATGGGAATAGTTACAAAGAAACCAATGTCCTGTCTCCACCAATCACTGCTCGTTATATTCGTATACATCCAGTGTCTTGGTCTAAGCACATATGCATGCGAATTGAGCTTTATGGTTGTTACTGAGGTATGTACTAACCTTATATACTTCATATGAAATATTATGATTAAACCTGAGGGGACAAACGAAGCAAAGGTTGTTACATGCCAGAGAATATATTTGACCGCGTGAAATATGTATTTTCAGCAGAAAATGTCTACACGATTTCATGGCTTTAATTGCGTTTTTTACCACTGGTGCGTCATCGCGTCTGTAACATTACATCCTACCGTTTGTTTACGATTTATTTTGAAAAAATTGAATGTGTATTCTACAAACGTCAGATGTCAGACATGAAATGATTTATATACCACCCCATTTGTTGTCTTTATTAATTGGCCCTGCAGCGCTACAACAACCTGAGGTTAACACCAAGTCTGTGTCTTGTTTCTGTTTAAAATTATGTAATTTACGGGCTTATGTGGGATATGCCAATTGCGGCGCCGGAACCACAGGAATAGCGAGGGTCAAGCGCTTTCAGAGACAAGCGAGGACGCCCCGCGGCCCTCATACTTTTACATCATACTTTTACCATTTCATCCCGCAATCAAATATGAAGTAATGTTAAAATTGTCGTAATGATGATGTCATTTAAAACACGTCGTCTTGTGGATCTGTAAGTCATGTGTACCTACCAATACGATCAGGCTTCGTCTGCGCGTAATTGCTTTGGTAAAAAGACTACGCTCTTTTCTAAAATTCTGTCTCTGCAACCCCAGACTTCTCCAGGTGCCAAAACTCGCAACTGTTGACAGTTGGTAAACGTAAATACATTCAATGCTTTACATTAATTTTAGCTTTTAGAAACATGGCCAGAAATTGCGGACATGGAATATGCAGATTGCCGTAGCAAATTTGCATATCTGTTCAAATATTATTCGTTTGCAGAACTAAAAATTATATTGCGCATTCTTAAATTTCGCAAAATTAAGGAAAACCATTGCATCTTTGCAATTTGCCCTGGTTGTTTCTTGTAATTCGTGTCATATTAAAGATCCTGAGGTAATATTTTGCTGGTAAAGGTTTATGTCGGCTCTGCCTTTTTTATTTTATTTGTACGCTATTACGGTTTTCGTTTTATATGGTATTCAACGTGATAATTGACCAAAACTTTGTTTTGAAAATGCAGGACGAATACTGATAAAACATTTTGAAATACTGTCTCAAAATATTAAGATTAACTTTCTCTGCAACGAGCAATTAAGGCAAATTATAATCGACCACCTAAAGCTGTATTTATAGCGTTTAGTACTGTGCACATTACAGTTTACTATAAGCTCACGAAGCTTTATTTTGACACCATATGCAAATTTAGGCGGAAGTAGAATGTTAATTATGTCCGAATTTTCTGGCCATGACTTTCAAAAACTTATATATACGTTTTCTCATAGTTATAGAAACAGAATATCGAAGTTAAAATGCATTCCTCATATTTTATTGCAGCTCTGGGCTTGGTGAATCTTACGAAGCAGTTGAATAATTATATGATTAGTAGATGATCAGTGAATGACCAGTTTGTAACGTTAATAAAAGATAAGTATAAGTTAGTCATTAGCAATGCAGTGGCATCAAATACAATAACTATAATTATTACAGTCAGATATATATACGAGCATGCCTAGAAGTAGTGTAGTATGATTGTATCTCAATTATCACTTAATAGTCTGTATAATCTAACATGCACTGGTAATAAATTGTAATTAAATCAACAATTATACGAAAAAGATGGCGGTGTGTGCATTTCAAGCAGAAAATATAGTTGGGAAAAAAAAAATTCAGTATATACGAATGAGCATCCGCCATTTTGAGAATTGTTGACTGCACGAGTCATGCACTTGTAATTTTTGTTAGGTTTTTGAATATATCTATTGCTGGAACAACATTATAAATTTCACAGCATCTTGTATTTTGTTTTTTCTTCTGATCTTTCGGATTGAAACAGGAAAAAGAAATCTGTAGAAACGGCTCCACAAGAGCAATGAATAAATATCAAATGCATTGAATTTTACTACATCAGTCTCGGAAGGGAAGGAAAATTGTGCATGCATTCTTCAAACACCAAAGACAGAGAAAGTTAGTAAATTTTATGTACCACTGCACAAATTAAAATCTAATAAGCACTTTTAACTTCATAACAGGAATGAAAGTCGAACATCCATTCATAAAGTCTTAATTAGTCTTTAGAAGAGCAGAAATTGCTGTATCAAAACTTTCCTTTTTCCTCTTGCTATTTGTTGAAGTTACGCCACACCGTACCTTGAGTGGCAAAGTTCTCCTTTGTTGAAGTGGTGGGGATTTGGAGTCCATTAGATGCTGATTTGCAATATCTCTGGGATGTCATGGAAGGTGGATGTCTCCCTTGCATGAGAGTTGTGCATGTACATACTGCTATTTGAAATAATTTGTTCAAAGATCTTTATTACTAACAAATTTGTAGAAAATCTCCCGAGTTCTCATTACGTTTACTGAAGATGTCAAGTATTTTCTATTTCTCAGTGCTATGAATATCCAGGATATTTGGAAAGATTTGTGCAGGATTTTACAGCAAGCGCTGTTAGATAACAATTAGTTTAGACTGTAGTTCGAAAACTAGATTATACCGGATACCAATATCACAGCATTCTCCGTTAGTTTCATCATGCATGTTTCAAAGACAGATGAACTGGTGGGCCGAAGTTATTTGGAAGCCAAAAAAAACCCTCTCCTTGGAGCAATTAATGGGAAGTGAATATAGCCTGTGTTATCCTTGTGTTGTATATAATATAGTCGTTTTGTCAATGGTCACAAGATTATGCTCTCGTGACACGTTATGTTGTTTAAAAGTTTTACAATGAGTATAGTTGGCAGGTTACTCTAGCATTTTATAATGCTGTAACTCATTACCTGGGCTTGTGGCCAGTTGTACGAAAGCTAATTATATAATAGAACTATCCAGCTGATAGTGATTTTTCAACCGTTGTAAAAATACTTGAAAACCAATAAAATTTTTGTTTTGAACTAACAATTATTAAAGAGAATCCCTAATTTAAAGGATATTAAAGTTTCAACAAAGAACCGAACAGCGGTGAAATCTGCTGTGCGATAACATTTGACCACAAACGATTATCCCGTGTTCAAAATAGGAAAACTAGAAGCAAAGTGTTTCCGCCCAGGATTGAACTGGGGACTTGCGCGTGTTAGCACGCTGGTCCAACTTAGCTAAGTTTCTCCCACTCGTGCAGGCTCATATTGTCAGCGGACAACTTACATAAAATTGAGAGCAAGGCGTAAAACGAAAAGCTTTTAATTTTTTATGCGAAGACCGCTGAAAAACTGAGCCCTCTTTACCGGGAGAAAATTTGCCGAATATGACCAACGTGTAGGCGCACGTGATAACCGCTACACTACGGAAACGGCCTCGTCCCCATTCGCTTCAATGATGTAAAACTGGTATACACATAAAATAAGCCAAAACTTAAGAAGACCCTGTGGACCAGGCAGCTACGGAAACACGCAAAGAACAGTCAGCAGAACAAGAATGGAAAAATTGTGTCTTTAAAGAGAGGAAAAAAGCGAAATTTTTCAGCCCAGGTTTGAACTGGGGACCTTGCACGTGTGAAGCGCATGTGATAACCACTACACTGCAAAAACTTTCCCGTGGTTGAAAAAGAATATTTCCCTTCTGAATTTTAATTGGCAAAATATCGAATTCTGGAAATTTTAGTAAAAGTAACTATAGGACACTCTACGTTGCGGAAATTAAGATCAAAAATTGTTTTCTACGAGCCATAATGGTTACAGGTTTGAAAAAAATATATGGAAGAAACATAGCGCACATAGCTGTTTCTGTACATGGTCAAACCGTTTACCTTGCGCCTCTAAAGAGCTCTCGCATTCCAAGGTCTAATTAAGAAATATCGCACTTCCAAGCAACACGCTGGTCCAACTTAGCTAAGTTTCTCCCACTCGTGCAGGCTCATATTGTCAGCGGACAACTTACATAAAATTGAGAGCAAGGCGTAAAAACAGCTGGGAAATTTGTTGTCGCTGTGCAAAAAATCGCTGGCACATAGCCGCATGTTTATTCGAATTCGAATTTTGAACGAAATTTACAAAGCGAAAGTTTTATGGAGATCTGAACTTTTTTCGGCAATGATCAAAAAGTTTAAAGTATGGAAGCTCCTTATTTAGCTCACGGACATTGCTTCTGCTGTTAGAAATGGACTTTTTAACGGTGGATTTTGAATAAATGTTGCCGACCAAGATTCCTTGGCTTCGACGAGCGGTTGTATTTTTCAAACTGCTGTGTTTATTTGTGAATGGCATGGAAACTCTCTTGTTTAAGCTGTCTAAATTTACATATTATGTAAATTGTAATGATATAAATTCTATTATATAATTTTCAAATGGCTTGGACTGAATATGGGCGAGTGATAAGTACATTCAAATGCGGCAAAGTAGACCGATGGCTTGAACACAATATTGGCGCGCGTGAGTTTGAGCAAAGTCTCTCGCCCCAACGTTGACTTCTAAAACGAGAAAAAGTACGTAATATGTTTCTTACAACATTTAGTCTTACTTCTCGTTGATATTTCCCCGGATAATTCCGCATTTTTACGGGAACATATGCCTAAGCAGCTGTGAAGTTTGTAAACCTGAGTCACGGGTATTTATTGAGCAAGCCGGATAGCTCGAAATCTCAAGGAAATCTCCAAACTTTTTGCACTAAATTTGGCATCCACATTGTTTGTTGTTTGAGATGAACAGGATTTTGTTGATGTGAAAATTGCCCTTACCAATGAAATCGTGGATTGTACTTGATATATTGAGTATTTGTGTGCTTTTACCGGTTGACGTGTTCAGCTAAAAAATCATGAAACTATTTGAATAACTGCGAACATCTTTTGCTATATTCCTTGGCACCAATTTAATAATTGTTGTACAGAAAAGTCAGCCCCGTTACGTTCTCTCGAGGAAGAAATATTCTAAAAGTATGTCCTTGAATTTTTCCGTCCCATTCTGTATTTACGCGTGGTCCCTACTCGAC